TGTTCCAATAAATTACCAATAAATAAATGTCAAAGTGAGCCTCAGAAAGGTTACACTACTGTGCCTTTACCGCGAGAGGTCTGGGTCCCAGAGGAGAATCCATCCCTGGGCCATGCGGGAGGAGCGGTAGGGTTGACAAGACAGTGAAGTGGCCCAGCAGTCACCAGGTGGAGAAAGTCAGAGGCTTAGAGAAGGGATGCATGTCACCTGCCTCCTGCCTCCCAGGCTGCTCAGGAAGCAGATGCTGACCCTGGAGTCCTGGTGCCACCAGGCTACCAGCTTTGTGATCTTGATTCTGCCCATACTAGTTCTGTGTCCCTGGGGCATGCCTTCTCTGCCTCAGTTTCCCCCTCTGTAAAAGGAGGGTGAGAATGGGGAAGGGAAATGCTGAGAGAGGGCCAGACCCAAGCGCATTGAAGTAAAAGCGGGAGCATGCAAACTTTGATGGGCGTTGGGGCGCTTCCAAGGTTCTAGATGGAGTTTAGGAACCAACGTGGAAATTGGTAAGGCTTACTTGTGGGAACACACACAAGTAAGGGAAAGGATTTCTGTGTTGTCTGAGAGACGAGACAGTTTTAGCTGGCTTGGGGTAGAACCTGAGTGTCCCAAAGCCTGGGAGGTCATTGGTGAAATCTCGGAGGCCTAAGCTGGAGAGAGGAATGGCATTAGCGTCTGAAGCGGCACAAAATAGGTGGGCATTTCTTCTGCCATCCTTGGCTCACTGTTTCTATCTCTTCTTACTTCTCCCCTGCTTATCCCCTCGTCTCTCTTTCTCTCCTTCCACCTCTCCCTTTTCAATTTCCCTCCCCTCTCTCCCTACTCCTTCCAAACCTTTCTCCCTCCAGATCTCTCTCTCCTCTTACCCTTTCTCTCTTCCTTTCTTCCTTCCCTGCCTGGTTCTGAAAAGCTGGCAAGGCGAGGAGGAGCTTGCTCTCAGAGCCGTGTTGTGAGTGGCCCGCTTGTGTATTTGCGGTTTACCTACCTGCAGAAGATTTATACCCCCAAATCTCCCAACGCTGCAGGCAAATGGTTTTTAATTCAGCTCCACAAATATTGACTGTGTTCGGGCTAACTGAGTGTACTTTGTGCTAGAGGTGTCGGGAGAGATGCAAATGGGAAAACCCAGTCCTCTGAGGAGCCAGTGGGGAGCCCCGGCCCCTGTTGGTATGAGACACATTCACCATCTTCCTGGAAGATGCTGAAGGGCTCTCTGTCTTCCATGTACTCTGGGTCCATTTCTTACTCGGACGAAGTGCAGAAAGGGGCATTTTGCCAGCTTTGGGAGATCTAACAGGACAGTACATTGTGGGCAGAATCTACAGGCATGAGGCTGAGCTCAGCCTGGGCCACTGGAGGGACTGGGTATATACATCTGTCTGTTTGCTGCTCACAAAGGCGTTAGCTGGCGCTATGGACTTTTGCATCTATTTCTTTCTTATCAATTTTACAAAACCCATAGCATTAGTAGGACTTCTGCTCCGCCAGTTTGGTGTTTTGTTTTGTTTTGTTTTTTCCCCTCTAGAGCCAGGCTAGGCTTTCAGTCCTGCAGGGTTGGGTCCCACCATGGTACTGAGTTTCGTACTACCCTCCAGAAGCCCACGGACAAAGGGAGGCTAGAGAATCAATGGGAATGGGATTTGAAGAGTGAGCAGGGGCAGAGCCAGGAAGGCTGCTCCTCACCCCACGCCACTTGTGGTTCACAGCAGGCCACACTTCCCGACCCAGGCACGATGCTGGGCAGCCTTGTGACCGGTCCTGGCCAATAAATGAAGCTCAGAAACCACAAGTAGTCCTTGAGGGCTGGATGACTTAATTATCTGGTGAAACTTCCCAAAAGCCCCGGCTTCTTAAGTCTTGCAGACAGTCTCAACCCCTTTGGGGGCAGGGTCGACTGATCCTTTCACAGGGGTGGCCTAAGACCATCGGATAGCAGAGATTCATAATCGCAACTACATTATGACCCATAACAGTGGCAAAATTACAGTTATGGTGTAGTAACAAAATAATTTTATGGTTGGGGGCCACCACAACACGAGGAACTGTATTAAAGGGTCGCAGCATTAAGAAGGTTGAGAACCACTGCTCTGGAGGGTGCTGCTTTGTTTCACCTGTGAAACACACCCCAGGTGTCACCCTGCGCTCCATCCATAGCAGATAAATAGCCAAGGGAGGTGTCGTCAGCTGCTGTAAGCCCCTGGAGGTAGGGATCCTCTGTTGTTGCCCACACAGCTTTGCCTGCTTCAGCAGGTCTTGGGAAAGCAAAGCTGATATGTTATTTACTGTACTGGAGCTTGAACCCAGGACCGCGTGCACGGCAGGCATGGGCTCTACCACCAAACTACATCCCGGCTCCCAAAGCCGGACTTTAGAGGCAATCTTTCTACTTTGGATCAGCATTGAAAAGATAGTCTTTTTCTTTCTCCACATCTTATCAGTCGCCCGTCCTTTGTCTTGTCAGTACCTGTAAGGTGGTACCACAAAAGGGGCAGTAAGGTTCTGTTAGGCTAGGGACAGAAGCAAAGTGGTGGCTTTATTTGTAGTTGTCGAGTTTACGACTTGACATGGGAATAGGAACTGGAATCTTTCCTCTCCATTGCCAGTGTGCTGAGGACAACAGGACCACAGACCACTGTCATTGGCCATGGCCATACACTTGAGGAGTCTCTCTCTCTCTCTCTCTCTCTCTCTCTCTCTCTCTCTCTCTCTCGACAAAGTTTCTCCGTGCAAGAGTCCCAGCTGCCCTGGAACTCGCTCTTGTAGACCAGGCTGGCCATGAATCACGGAGATCCGCCTGCCTCTGCCACCCAAGTGCTGGGATTAAAGGTGTGTTCCACCACCGCCTGGCTAGAGAGGGCTCTATCTTAACTTCCTGCTCCAAAAGAACAATACCTCCCCATCTGTGACTTCTGTGTACTGAGTACCAGTCATTGTCCTGGGCACCAGAGTGGGGTGGAGGGAGAGGAAGACAATCGGTCCTTCAGGAGAGAGCTCTGTCTACAGGGCACAGTGGCCGGAGATGGGGTTGGATCTAGAGCTCACAGCGCAGAAGACGGAAGAGAGAACCCCAGTGAGAAGTTACAGGACACTTCCTGGAGGAGGTGGCAGGTCACCCTCAGAGCCTATTCCCATATTGCATGTGGGGGCCAATCCCACATTTTGAGGATGCAAGCACAGATGCCTGGCAAGGCTCACCATTCTTCTCCAGCACATGGTCCAACATGGCCCAAGCTTCCAAAACCCGAAAGGAGTCATTCCTCACTTCTTCCTTGGGTGTGTGACTTTCCAAATGGGTTTACTGGGAATGTCCAGGCTTGACAGTGTGGTTTTTCTGCCCCAGGAGGAAGGACAGCGGGAGGAAATGCACGCAAATCCTTTCTTTACCGCGGTTAGTGAAAAACCAGGCATTAAAGAAGACCCTGGCGTCAGTCCGCCTGCAGGTACTCTTTTGGACATGCCCCTGCAAGGAGCCCATTCTCCTCCCACACCTCTCCTTTTGGTGGAGAGGGGTACAGTGCCTATTCCTCACATCACAAGGTGGGGACTCCCTGGAGAGTGGCATGTCACCTTCAGCAAGCAACTCATTCATAAGCGGGGACCGGTGACCTGAGCACTGACTGGCTGCACACGTAAACAGCTCACTGTAATTGACTGCCTTTTGTAATCACAGGGAGCTTGCTGACTTTCTCCACTGGGGGAAAACTTCAGAGAAGAGGGAATCCAGGCTGCACAGGCGTTTCTGGATGCTTGTCTTGGAGAGAGCAAGTTGTGTGTCTGTCAAATTTGAGGGGAGGATAAGGCCCATTACATTCAGATTCAATGAGAATTTATCAATGCCTCTGTGAAGAGATGCATTGAAAAGTACAATGTCTTATTTTTTTTTAAATTAGGAATCGAGTTAGTACTGTAAATTCATTTAATGGTAGGTCATAAAAGTCAGGCTTTACAATAACACTGTTTTTCTGGTATAAACGTGATATTACCATTGACCTGAGTGCACCTTATTGATCCACGGCCACCTAACTGCATGGAGCGGAACATTTTAAAACATTTTACACAATGCGGGAAGCAGCGCCATCTTTCTCTCTACCTGCCAAAGCTAAGCTTGGCTTTTCCCCTCACGACACTTTGTTAGACTTTTAGGGACGTCTTTTCACAACCGCCGGACTGATTTTCATGCCCTTCGGATACATTCCAGAAAGCTCTACCCTTTGGCAGAACAGTTTTAAAACACACAAATCTCTTTTGCCTTGAGGGGTGCGGGCGAGGGCGCGTGTTAGACAGGAGCAGCTTACACCAGACCCTGGACTGCCAGCAGCTTCCCTAACCTTGACTTTAGGTCCGCTCTCTTTAACCTCTTTGAAAAAGCAGCCCGCAAGATGAGCTGTCCTTTGAATTTTGAAAAAAGAAACGGCCTAGTTTTGATCATCGAAAGGGCATTCGCTCAGGAGAGCTTGGGGCAACTTCCCCTACTAAATCGCCCAGGGGATTTTAAACCGTCGCGTGCCACAGAGCCCCCATTCGCAAAAGCCACCCTAACCTAACCTGCTTCTCGCCACTCGTCTTTCCACAGGGGAGAATGGGTGGCACTAAGGCG